ATACCACCAGCTATAATGTACTATTGCTGGGATTTGTTGTATTCCTCTATAGCTGGTGGTATTCTGTATTGTGCTGTATAATGTACTATTGCTGGGATTTGTAGTCCTCTATAGCTGGTGCCATTCTGCATTCATTGCTATATAATTTTACACTTATTTCACTATATTGCACACCACCCTTTTTTTTCTTATTTACTTCCACCGCTCCAAGCATGCTCCTGTGATGGACTACAACCTCAATACAAACTAGTAGTCCATCACTGGAGCCATTTTTTAAAATGTATTTTATTTTTTATCCGATTAATCGAACTCAATCATCGGCTAACTAATCGATTTTGAAAATAATCGTTAGCTGCAGCTCTAATGTTGGTTGATCTGCACAAGCTAACCAACAACTTTATAAAGGAAAAGAAGAGGTGTTTGGCTCCTGAAGGTTTTCTATCCATGAGATTGGATTTGCAGATAACGAGGGTATTTGTGAATTTTACAGAAAAGAATGCAGCTCTGCCAATCTATGTAGAGGCCTGCAGGCAGCACTCATGAGTGTCCTGCGTTTGCAATATTGAAAGACAACTTTTTTTTTTTTTTTTTGCTGGAGTCCTGCTTTATGTCAACGAAATGCAGCATGTGTTATGATAAGGACTTATGATTCCTTTCCAACTTTCATTTGCTGCATGCTTGTACCGGCGCCAGGATTCAGAAGCATTGGAGCTATACACTGAGTGGCCAGATTATTATGACCACCCCATCAGTACTTTGTTGGGTCGCCTCGTGACTCCACGAGATGTTGGCAGGTGATGCGAGGAATCTGACACTGCACTGTTGCCTTTCTGTTGTCTTGTACCAGTCTTGCCACTCTCCGTTCTGCCCTAACATTGACTAGTTGCTGACGGCCACAATTCACACGTTCAGACCCAGATTTTCGGCTGACAGTCCAGTCTTTAAACACTTTAACAACAGCTGCTCTTGAACATTTAATGAATTCTGCTGTTTTGCTGATACTCGCTCCATGGCTTGTGCGCCAACAATCATCCCACGTTCAAAGGCTGTTAAATCGCGTTGTTTACCCATATCTTCAGAAAAAAATCACTTCTACTGTCGTGGCAAACAACCTGCTTCCCTATTTATAATGGTCTGGCCCTCTAGCAACCTCAGCGCGAAATTATAGCTAATTAAAGCTAATTTGCCTACAAACGTCAGGTGGTCATAATAAACTGGCCACTCAGTGTATTATGGCTGGCAACTAGCATTTTCCTAAAAAGGTCAGCAAAGTCAGGCCATAGATTTCTTTAGGGCAAGGACATGTAAAGTCAGAGAGTGGTTAGAGCTAAGCATGTATGATTAGGCTCTGTGTGCCCTAGCTATGAGGAAACATTATGTAGGAAAGGTATTAGCTCTCGTTGCCAAGGTGTTTTTTTGCACACGTTAGAATCCACATTTTAGGCCTGACAATTACTCAAAACCCCAGAGAGTTAGTTACATATTTCCTGAAAGGACACACCCTGTAGAATACAATGGTGGCAACTGCAAATGTTTATGTCGCATGAAATGAGTACAACTCTTTTTAAGTAAATTTTAGTGCACAAAAAAACCCCAATACCCATTTGTTTGGTAGAATACTAAAGATTAGGTTGTGCCGAGTAAATAGATACCCAACATGCCAGGGTTAAAAATTGGGAGCGCCCATGGCAGGTGACAGGTACTTTCTTGACAAGTTCTCTTGTGACAGGTACTCTATTAGACTCCTAGTGTCACCTTTGGAAAATGAAGACTGATTGGTAGCGCACCACCTTCCCGAAATCCTCGGTCTCGAGGCGCAACTAACTCGGATGATCTAGAGGTCTCGACATCCCCAGGAGCCCATCATCTGAGTGCCATCCATCTCATCACACGTGAGTGCCCATCTCTCATTCCCACCCACCTTCCCCTGATCCACTGCCATTCACTGGTTCACCTAACCCCACAAAGTTTGTGCCAGTCAGTTGCGCTCCTTCCCTCCCTTTCTTTCCGTTCATTAGTGTCACCTTTCCACTTCAAAGAAACCATTCAAGCACAGATCATGAAATAGCTTCTTCCTGACTTCTCCAGCTTCGAAAAGCAAGAAGGGATGCGCTTCTGGTTCCATTCAGCAGGGAGGAGATCGCAAACAGATGTTCACTGGTCTCTGCCTCCGCTTCCTGCCAACACCCAAGAAGCCGGTCCTGGGACCGTAGGAGGGGCAGCCGAGCCCAGGCAGCAGGCTGGGGGGCAACAATCTACTGGCCCATGGAAACAATATCGCAACAGCTTAGCTGCCAGAACCGCTTGCAGTGCAAAGCCGCCAGTCAGCTTCGCACAGGTAAACGGAGTCCCGGCGGCTATAGTGCTTCCTTGTGTCATCACTGTAAGGGCTTGGTCACACCGAATGCGGTGCGTTCGCAATCCCTCACAAAACTTCCCCTTGCGTCTTGGGGCGTGGCGGTGCATTGAATTCAATGGCACTGCTTCCACGCCCCCCCCCGCCCCCCCCAGTGTGATCGGATGTGTGGCAAAACTTTGCCTGCGTTCCGTTCCCCTGCAAACGCAAAAAAATGCTGCTTGCTCTATTTTTGGGGTTTGCAGTGGAATGGAACGCAGCCATGCGCCCGATCACACTGCAGGTGTGGAAGCGGTGCCATTGAATGCAATGGATCGCCACGCCCCTTGCCGCCCCAGAACGCAGGGCGAAGTTTTGTGAGAGATTGCGGTGCGTTCCAGCAGCTACCGCTCTGGAAGGCACAGTATTCGGTGTGAACAAGCCCTGGCTGAGAATGCAGTCTGTACGTTATAAAATGCAACACCATCGTTGCTTGCTGGAAGCAATGCATGGTGGGATATGTAGTCTTGAGCAATGTATAGTGTATCACCTTACGTAGCAGGGAAAGAGATGCAAAGCACACTGGGAATCCAGGACATTGTTGAAAGTGATAGGAAGAGGAAGGCAGCGCTCACTACATAACAGTAAGCTTTTATCAGGGGGCACTGTAGCTAACTCGAAAACAAAAAGCCAAGTATCAGCATGGCCGCCAGGGAATTATTCTGGGTTCCAGCACAGAACTAGCATTTTCAAAAGGAAAGCTCAGCAATGACCAACCATTTCATTTCAAAAGAAAAAGCCTAGATTTCAATACAGTCCACTCATAATAAATAGATAACTGTCCCTCCACCCCCAACCCACACAACCTGCCATGTGACAAACTTATCCACACAACCTCATTACCAAAATGTCCTCAGAGATTCATTTGCTGAGACAACCATGTAGGCTGCTGGAAAGGCAAGAAGAACACCAGAATGTTAAACTGGAGCAGACAAAATCTGGAGCAGTTGGGCATGACAACCAATCAGCTTCTCTCTTTAATTTCCAAATCTTAACTGAACAAACTGAAGAGAGAAGCCGATTGGTTGCCACGGGCAACTGCTAACCGATTTTGTCTCCTCCAGTTTTGATAAATCCCCCCCAGTGTGTATAGATGTGATAATTTATGGAACCTTAGACTGCTGCAAAGGAAGCGGAGAGACGTTAGAAGGACTGGTCTAAGAAGAAGCCAGCCCGGGGCTTTGGGGGGAGTATAATTGTTATTTTTGTCCTTAGACACATACGAGCGTTTAACCCTGGCAGTGCACGGGGTAGCACCACTGCAAGGGTTAATTAAAAAAAAATTCCTGGCATTCTGCTTTAAGTGCTCATTCACCTGAACCTCAATCCCAGCCGGCTGCTACATCAGTCCCTGGAGCCTCTCTCCCCCTCCGCTCTAGCGGTCTGAGGTCCAGTGAGTCATCACATACTATGCAGTGTATAGGACATGAGGACTCCAAGGGGAGCTGCCCCCTCACTGCAAGGGATAACTGCTCAATTTCTCTAGGGGCTGAAAAAAGAAGATATACTCACCCGATCCTCGGTCCTGCGGCAGTGACTGCTCACCTCTCTCCCCATCCTCTCCAGCTGTGGTATATCCCTTGCCATCCTCATGTCTAATACAAGTGAATGGACTGCATTAGACGTGAGGACATCAGTGGGGCTTAAGCCAGTGATACACGCGGAGCAAAGCGAAGCACGGAGTTGAGCGTAGCCAGATGAAAGCCTTCATCTTCAACCAATCGGCTCACGCGTAACAACTCAATGCACTTCACATCCTGATGTGTCGGTTTAGACGCGCAAACCGATTTGCTGAAGATGACATTTTTTTTATCTCAGCACACTCAGCTATGCGAGCTCTTGCAAGCTGACCCGCGGGATCGAAAGTTGTAAGACGCACTGCAGGCATAGGTCTCCTTGCCGCCGCTTCCCTTTGCTGCGCGCCGCTTCGCACGCAGTGCGTCACAGCCCGTGACACACTGCATGCAAAGCCGTCCAGAGCGAAGCAAAGCTGTCAGGCACGGAGCTTCGCATGCAGTGTGTGAGCTGAGTGCAGCCAGACGAATGACAGAATTCTTCAGCCAATCAGCTGGCAAGTAACAAATGGATGGAGTTCGCATCGTGACGAGCGGGTTTATACGCGCGAGCCAATTAGCTGACATTTTTCATCTCGGCACGCTGAGCTATGCGAGCTCCCGAAAATGACATGACACACTGCATACGAAGGCAGCACGCCACTGCTCGGTTCTTCTTCGCGTGCAGTGTGTCACAGCCTTTAGTGTCCCAGAGCCCAGGGGAGGAGAGGCTGTGTGGACCTGTATAGCAGCCAGGCAGGATTGAGGATCAGGTAGCTTTTTTTAATTTGAGCCCCCTAAAAGGAAAACAAGCAGTTAACACTTGCAATGCAAGAATAGCCACACCGCAATGCAAGGGTTAACTTATTACATTCCTGGAGTTCCTATTTAAACAGCATTTTCAGATGGATGGATCAGCCATGACAACCTCAATATCCTCCTAGCACAGGTTTACAAGCTGGCAGCCAATGAAGAGCTTCTGCAGGAGCTGTGCCCCCATCAGAGCAGCGATCCCCATATAATACCCCAGTAGGATGTCAGCATTCACCTACCGGCATGGTGATGTGTGGAGGTGGTGATGATCACAGGATGTGTGACAGCTCAGCTCTGTGCTGGAAGGGAAGCGGCCCCGAAGTCCAGCCCTGCTTCCTGTCTTATGACACAGAGGCGGAGATCCTTCTTCCACTACAAGGCGCTCATAGGACATGAAGATGCTGCCATCTTCTGGTGTGCATGGTCAAACTGAGGAGCTCACAGTGATCATCATGGGAGAAGCCGACACAAAGTATGTACACCAGCCCGGGGAGGGCAGGCATAATGATTGTCTATGGGAGATCTGCCCAGCTGGGTCGCCACCAGCAGCGCAATCTGCAGATCGGAGCGAAGTTCGCTGCTTTGTTTTTCTTTCGCTCTTCCTGTTTTCTGACTTGTTGAGCCTTGTAACTATGTAACACAGCCGACTTCCCCAGGGTATGGGGGGGGGGGGATCCGGCCTTGATCGGGGGAGATCGCCCCCCTGGAATGTGTTTACTGTCAGAGAGCATTCCGCTCCGATCACACACTGATAACACGCTGGAGGGGAGGTGTGAACAGCGGAACCAATCACAAGACAGAGTTCACACTTTCCTCAACTTGCAAAGTGTTAGCCAACACCTGATTGGCTGCTGCGGGCACCAACCTTGTAGGGAAATGATCAGTGATTGGAGGTGACCTAACGTTTAAGCTATCAATGACCAAGATATAAACTCCTTCGAACTTAACTTGCACAACAAACAAACAACTTCCCAAATATTATAGGGCTGTCTCTATTATATTAATATATTTCACATCTGTGATGTTCATATCACCTTTTAGGGGCTAGTTCACACCAGCCCCAGTGCGTTCAGGGCCGATTGGTGCCGGAACGCACTGGATCGCTTTCCGGCTGGCTCACTTTGTTTTGGGGTGGAAGGGGGGTACCTCCGGCCGCAGTGTGATCGCCCGCGGTCAGGAAAAAATAGTGCATGCAGCACCGATGTGCCACGTGTTCTGGTGCGGGCGATCGCACTGCAGCTGGAGGCCGTGGCTGCAGTGCAATTGACCTCAATGCATCTCCCCGCCCCCTTCTGCCCCCAAAACAAAGTGAGGCGGCTGGGATGCGATCCAGTGCGTTCCGGCACAGAATCAGGCTGGAACGCACTGGGGCTGGTGTGGACTAGCCCTCACACAGGCTGATCAGGAGTGGATCCATGCACAGATCTCTTCGTGATCAGACCAGCACGGATCGGAGGTCACCGCTGTTACATACGTGTCTGTACAGTTTTTTTTCATCCATCTTGCGACGGAGGGAAAAAAACCCCCATGTCGGTCTATAGGGAATGGGATATAAGAAGACGTGTCCGTTTACATTAGATTACCCCCCGATCCGTTTCACCGGACCGTATTGTGCTGGATCTATGATCCATTTGTTTTTCCGGACCCGGCCAGAGTAGGGGGTAACCAAGTGTAAACAGATGCCCGTCCGTTTACACACGGCTGCCCATAGACTTGCATTGGGCATCCGATCCGGTCTGTCTGATAAAACAGACAGGCGGGCCCGATCGGAGAGGCCGTGTGAAAGGGGCCTTCGGGGTCAGTCCCATGAGCTGCCAATATCGCCTATGTCCACCACAGATCAGTTTTCAGAAGGCACTAAAGCAGCAGATTCCAGGCATTCAGGAGGTTATACCGGAACTTGGATACATAGAACTACCATGCCTCAACCAGGGACCCATTCACCTCAAAGGTCCCAACTAGTGATGAGCCTGGGCTCGGTGTGAACCCAGCACGCTCAAAATGTGTCCAACCCCCCCCGGATATGAACATGTGTGTATTGTTTTCTATGGACCCATGCCCTCAGTGCAGTAACTTGTGCTGCATTCAGATCCGGAAAATCAAAATAAAAAAATATGCATCTTAGGTCCTGAATATGACCGTAACCAATAGCAGATGGTTAGAGGCAGCGGACATGCAGCAGGAGATGGTGAGAGGCAGCAGACATGCAGCAGGAAATGGTTAGAGGCTGCGGACATGCAGCAGGAGATGGTTAGAGGCTGCGTGCATGCAGCAGAAGATGGTGAGAGGCTGCGTGCATCCAGCAGGAGATGGTGAGAGGCTGCGTGCATGCAGCAGGAGATGGTGAGAGGCTGCGGGCATGCAGCAGGAGATGGTTAGAGGCTGCGGGCATGCAGCAGGAGATGGTTATTGGCCCGATTTGGAGCCGGAACACAGTTTGTTTTGTGCACTAGCCCTGAAATGCATGTGGGCTGGTGTACATGGTGTAGAGGCGGTGTGGGGTGTTGTGGCCCGGCAGCTTTTAAGTGTGCCCATACTGCTAATAAAGTGGCACTTGTGTGGAATATTAGGCACTGCCATCTGCCTACACCATGTGTCCACCTACTTTCAGCACCATGGGTGCCCACAATATGGATCTTTTCATTAGGCCACCTGAATGGCAGAAGTTTGACATGGTTTTTCATAGGGATGCACCGATACCGATACTAGTATCGGTATCGGTGCCGATACCAAGTATTTGGGTTAGTACTCGTACTCGCCCAAATGCTCCGATACCTAGCATGAGTACTTCCTGTATCAGGAAGCCAGGCTGCGCATCACTACACGCTGCCCGGTTTCCTGATTGGCCAGGAAACGGCTCCATGCTCTCTCGTCACTTGTGATGAGAGAGCATGGAGCCAACCTCCCGGCCAATCAGGAAGCCGGGTAGCGTGCAATGACAGGCTGCCCGACTTCCCGATTGGTCAGGAAGCTAGCAAATCCGGAAGCCGGGCGCCATGTAATGACGCAGCACCCGGCATTCTGATTGGCCGTGAAGCCGGCTTCATGCTCCCTCGTCATCTCATGAATCATAATATTAAGGAAATGACCTTAAAGCATCCGTTTGTATTGCTTTAGAAAAAAATGTGACCTGTCCCTTTAAGAAAAAGTATCGGTAATTGGTATCTGCGAGTACTTGAGCAAAAGTATCGGTACTCGTACTCGGTCTTAAAAAAAGTGGTATCGGTGCATCCCTAGTTTTTCAACCCCTATTGTACCTATGGGATTCCTCATTCACTGAGTGCAGCATTAAACGTTTTAGAGACCGCGTCAAAAACTTTGCCTACAAAATGACATTGCTTACGTGCAGAGTTTTTTTCCATAAACAGGTGTTTTTATTTTATTCACTTGCACTGTTCCTTTGAACCTGTTAGGAAATTCTGCGCCTCTACGGAAAGTTTATTTCCCTAGTGCAGTTCCCTCCCTCCTGCCACCTCCTAGCCCTCTTCTCTTCTAGGAGTGTCTACTTGCTCTCTGTGCTGACCCAGCTGCTTTGCGCATCCCCCAATCTTATGTAACTGTGCCAGTTCAGTCCCTCCCAGACTATTCACACAAACATATTTACATATTCTGAACAAGCGGTAAACATATTTTAAACAAGCACTCATTCACCTCTGTATTCATATGTATTGTGGAAAAAAATGATCTTCTTCAATTCACCAGACATATAGGAGGCCGCACGATTTGCCTCCTGAAGGCCAGAAAAACCTCATCGAAAAAGCAATCCTCCACAGACATCCCTCTCTGAGACCCCATTCACACTGAGCGACATGGAAATCGCGCGACTTTGAGCGACGTCTTCCTATTGGGCTGTATGCAATCAGGAGCAATATCGCTCAAAGTCGCTCTAAAAAAGGGTCATGTAGGAGCGACAAGCTACCAGCGACGAGCTACAAGCGATATTGAGCGACGAGATGTGAACAGCTACATTGAAATGTATTGGTGAAGCTACATAGAGCGATGTAGCGCGGAAATATGAGCGATATCGCTGCAAAAATCGCTCCATAAATCGCTCAGTGTGAATGGGGCCTGAGAGGTTTACTCTGCTAAATGTATGGTATATAGAGCAAAGTCGACCTTTCCTGGGTACAATGTTTCTTCCCTTGCGGGCGTCAGGGAGCTGTTATAATAGCGGGAGACTCCTGGAATGTCTGGGAGAGTTGAGATCTCTGGTATATTGTAACATTAGTGTGCTGATTGTTGAAAACACATGGCCAGTCCTGGCAGCAGGAAGTCGAGAAATCCAGCTGTGACATGAGATAACGTGTAGAGAGGATCAACAAAGATGTGGGTGGAAAGTCAGGGAAAGTTGTTTGCTCTGTTGTCACATTACTTGTTTGTCATTTTTTAGTTGTAAAGACATCTGTAACAGATAAGGATTCATAGCTGAAGTACAATATGGTGAAACCTTTAGGCCTCATTGACACACAACGCAAGAGCAAAAGGGTATATTGCGTATATGCGGGCACTTTTTGCATTCCCAGAATGCATCATTCCTAATAGAAATTTGAATGAACTGTACGCGCATATACGTATATAAAATACGCCGAAATACGCTGCCCGGACGCATCTCTGTTCCATTCTGTTTTTGCGCATTTATACGACGCAAATATATACGACTCCATACGCGGCTATGTGTATGGAGCCATTTATTTGCATATGTTACAATACGCACGTACCCGCATATACGCGCGGCAGTGTGAATGAGGCCTAAGGCTGCTTCTTGAAGTTTAAGGCCTCATTCACACTGCCGCGCATATATGCGGGTACGTGCGTATTGTAACATATGCAAATAAATGGCTGCATAGCCGCGTTTGGAGCCGTATATTTGCGTAGCGTAAAAATTAGCAAAAACAGAATGGAACAGAGATGCGTCCGGGCAGCGTATTTCTGCATATTTTACGCGCATACACATGTTTACGCATATATATGTGTGCGTACAGTTCATTACAATTTCTATTAGGAATGGTGCATTCTGGGAATGCAAATAGTGCATGCATATACGCTCGTTTATACGCAATATACAATTTTGCTCTTGCATTGTGTGTGAATGAGACCTTAGTGTGCCCTCTTTAATGTACTGCTCGGAGTCTTTGGCCTCGTTCACACGGACGGAAAAGGGAGTGGTAGAACCAAGCAGTTGATCTGCAGTTTTTACTGACCCCCCCCCCAGTCACCTGCTACAATAGCAGCACTGTTGCCGAACAGGGTTGTATACATTGCTGTGGCCAAGGCTGTCCCTACATTATTTGCCGCCTGAGGCAGGGGTGGTTTACCGGTGCTCTCAGTGT